GGAACCGCTGGTAGTTTCGAACTGCTGACCTTGCGGCTCGCAGCCCGATTCACAACCACTACGCTACCAGAGCTCCTTCATTTAGTCAGCTTTAAAAATAATTGTAAAAACATTTATTACCTCAAATGATATCTCCTTATCGTAACTATAATGAAAGATATTGAAATCCACTATTTGCAAAAACTGTGGAGATTAATTGTGGTGATGTAGATGAATACATGAAACAATAAATCAATAATCAATCACATTTCCAGGTCACTATTTGAGTTCTAAGACTTAAGTATGTATTTGTGGTTTAAAAAAAAAGAAGTCCTTATAGTTGGAAAATTGAAATCAAAAATTTAAATAAGATTTAAAAATAAAATGCATCTCCCCTTTAGTAACTGCCATCAAGGGAATGTGCTTTAACTAATGAATTAGTAGGCAATCAATAGAGTGATGTCCAACTCTGGACCACTTTTGGGTACATTTACTAATGTACCCAAACACCAGTCTCTTGTGACTCCTATAGTATTCAGACACCTATAATGATTGAAACAGATGAATTGTCACCCTGAATTAGGAACACAGATTGTCCCATTGGGAAATAGTTGAAACTGGTGTGGTGGAGAAAGGCAATCGGACCACTGAACACACAAACCTGATTTTGAGTGAATGCTCTTCCTCTTACATCTCCACAGATTAATAGAGTCATTTGCTTTTCAGCAGCCCAGTTATTTCATATTAAAATGTGAATATAATTAATTTTCTAGTTTGCATAATTACAATGAGAATTATATTTTATAATATTTAAATAATGTAAACTACATGAACATTCTATTTAAATAAAACCTGGTATTATGACTATTCACTTAGATGGTTATGGCCTCTAAGATACAGAAAAAGTAGACTTTTGTTGAACAATCTAATAAAATTTATTTCTAGAAGGAAATCAACTGTCAAAATAAAAATATCTTAAGAGTTGCTATGACGAGATCTATGTAGCAAATTAGGAGATGACTATCAGAAAAAGAAGTTTGTAAAGGTGAATACCCAAATGAAACAAAAATTGTTTGTTGTGGAAATGGAGATAAAAATGATTTTTTGCCCTTGTAAGGGAGAAAATAGATCAAACTACTCAAACAATTTTGAAATATTCTGGTAAAATCATTGTCTCCTATATCCAAAATCTCTTCATTAACCACCTGTTGTTGTTAAGTGTTGTGTAGTCGGTTCCGACCCATAGTGACCCTGAATAGGTTTTCTGAGGCTGTAAATCGTTACAGGAGCAGAAAGCTTCATCTTTCTTCCATGGAGCAGCTGGTCATTTCGAACTGCTGACCTTGCCAGTTCGCAGTCCGATTTGGATGTGCTGAATTTATTCTAAGAATTATGCACATGCAAGAAGTAACCTATGTTAAGTCAATTCATTAGTTTGGAAAAACTTTGACTTCCATTAAACATATAGTAGCACAAATTAGTGACAGAAAACTATATCAATATAGGTGCAAATTTTAATTTTAATTTTTATTGCCACTTAGAAATAAATTGGATGATCAAGGAGACTAAAGGCATATAAGTAAACATTGGTTATTTTTTACCAAAGCTTCCAATTGTGGAGGATAAAAGATATAAATGGGAGTCTTAAGCTAATTTCTTCCTAATTGTGATTTTTCTTATTTTATTTTAGGGATTGTTTACCTTTGTCTCTCCAATTACTAATCAAATGTTACTAACATGTATAACTCTACCATAGTGACTGAATTTCTACTTACAGGATTTTCTGATGTGTGCGAGATCAGAATTTTGCTTACCATCCTATTTCTGTTGATGTATGTGGCTACTCTAGTGGGAAACTTTCTCATAGTTACAGTAATCACCACTGACCGGAGTCTTCATACCCCAATGTATTTCTTTCTTCGGAATCTGTCTGTCCTGGACATGTGTTACATTTCTATCACTATACCCAAGGCATGTGTCATCTTCCTGTTTAACAACAGGGTGATCTCCAAGGTTGGATGTGCAACTCAGATCTTCCTCATGCTTTTATGTGCTTCAGCAGAATTGCTGCTACTCACCATCATGGCTCATGATCGCTATGTGGCCATCTGCCAGCCCCTCCACTACCACATGGTCATGAACCCTCATGTCTGTGTCCAGATGACACTAACCTCTGTGCTCAGTGGCCTGGTCTATGCAGGTGTGCACACTGGCAGCACATTCCGGTTGTCCTTTTGTCAGTCCAATGTGATCCATCAGTTTTTCTGTGACATTCCCTTTCTGCTAAAGCTCTCCTGCTCTTACACATTAAGCAATAAGATTGCAATTGTTGCCTCTACAATAATAATGGGTGGTGGCTGCTTTTCCTTCATCACCATGTCTTATATTCACATATTTTCTACTGTTCTCAAGTTACCAACCAGAGGAGAACGAGGAAAGGCCTTTTCTACCTGCATCCCTCACATTCTCATAGTTACAATCTTTCTCAGCTCAGGTGCTGCTGTGTATTTGAAGCCAACATCCAACTCATTTTCAATCCAGGACATGATTATGTCTGTGTTCTATTCCGTAGTCCCTCCATTCTTGAATCCTATTATCTATAGTCTTAGAAACAAGCAGATAAAGGAAGCTGTAAAGAGAATCCTAAGAAGAACAGTCACTCCATTCAAGAAAGCAATGAGATAATTATATCAAGACATTCTCAATTTGATTGTGTGAGTTGAAAATGCTTCAAAATTATTGCTCTTGTCTACTTCTAACTTTGGGGGACCTGACTTAAATTCTGATTAACAGCCATTGTATTAATAAATTGGCAAAGAAATAATACAAGCACAATTCCTTTTTCCTGCCAAATTGGACCTTAACTGATGCCTGTAACATACCACTGCTAAAACTGCTATCTTCTGTTAAACAATTGTTTCCATTAATTCCATTTTAAACATTTAATTTTCAGTTTCCCTGATAGGTGAATGTTTAAGAGATAGGCTGATTATGGAAATGTCTGTGGTTCAAACCTATCAGCCAATCTGCAGGAGAAAAACCTGGCTCTCAATTCTTATAAAGATCACAGCCTTAGAATACCAATGTGGAATTTCATCTCTGTGCTATAAGGTCAGAACTAGTTGGATGACACAGAATATCTGCAGAGTCCTAGGAAAACCTGTATTAAATTTGTCTATTTTTTTTTTTTTACAAAATGAGGCATACAATTTGTCACTTGCTCTTACATGCCATTAAGTAAATTTAGACTCCTGTACTTGATATGAAAATGTAAAACTACCCCATAAGGTTTTCATGCCTGTTCTGTTTTTGGAAGCATATCACCAGGCCTTTTCATGTAGACCTTCTTGGTGGGTTTGAATTGTCAATCTTGTGATTATCAGTAAAACACTTAATCTAGTTCTTAAAATATTGTTAAAAATGAACATAATGACTTCTATTGTTGCTGTTGTTAAGTGCTGTCAAGTCGATTCCGACCCATAGCAACCCTGTGTAGGGTTTCCAAGGATCAGCTGGTGAGCTTGAACCACTGACCTTGCAGTTCAAATGGCTTTGCTGACAGGCACATTAACCCACAGTGCCAGACATCTATTAGCTAGTCATAAAATAATCGTTTCGTGACCTGGAATTAGTTCCGACTCGTAGTGACCCTGTATAGAGTTTCCAAGCTTGTAAATATTTACAGGAATAGAAGCCTCATCTTCCTTCCACAGAGCATCTGGGGTAGATTTGAACTGCTGATCTTGTGGTTAGCTGCTCAATACATAACCTCCTCCTCTATAGTTTAAGATAGTTTATTTGTTTTTATAACAAAAGAAGTATTGAGAAATATTGTTTATAAGAAAATGTCACTTATACTGCCCTATGTTTTACATATATGAGCACGGTGAATCTATAGAATAAGCACTGGAATGTGAACCACAAGGTCAGTGCTTAGAAATCACCAGCCCCTCTATAAGAGAAAGGTGGGCTTTCTGTTCCTGCAAAGTTTATAGCCTCAGAAATCCTACCCAGGGTGGCTATGAATCAAAACCAACTCCACAGCAGCTAACAGTTACAACATGTTTTATTTAAGGAGACTTAGTGGTGCTGTATGTTAGGATGATTACAAATTCAGTAGTTCAAACCCAAAAGTTATTCTGTGGAATGATCATGAGGTTTCTTGCTCCCATAAAGATTTACAGAATCAGATTTACATAATCATTGCTATATAGAGTGACCAAGAGATGGCATTGATTCAGTAGCAATGGATTTGTTTTGATTCTTTTTGTTTGCTTATGCTGGCCATAGTGTAGAAAGATACATTTAAATTTTTTTTTCGTGAACACATTGTAGTTGTTAAGTATCACCCAGTCAATTTCTACTCATACACCTTGTATAGGGTTTCTGAGGAGCAGCTAGTGAGTTTAAACTGCAGATCTTAAGTTCAATTTCTATTGGCCTTGCAATCCAGTACTTACCCCTGAACACCACCCTGTATCCTAAAATCATTGTAATTTCATATTGACACAGTGTACAATAGAATGAAAGATTCCCTAGTCCTGCACCATCCACAAATGTTTGCTATACTTAAGACTATTGTCGCAGCCAGTGCATCAGTCTATGTTGTTGAGTGCTTTCCTTTTTCATTAACCTTCTTTTTGTTGTTTGTTTGTTTTTTAACATGATGTCCTTCTTCAAAGAATTGATTCTTCCTGATAGCAATCATAAAGGTGGGTTGAAAGCTCACTACCCTCTCTTCAAAGGAGCATTCTGGCTGCATTTCTACAGCAAATTTGTTTCTTCTTCTGGCACATTCAATAATTTTCACCAATACCATAATGTAAATATTATGCACTTTATTTGTATCTTCTCCCTTTTTTCTTTTGTTAGGTTTGCTAATTGCATGTTAGTTTTACTATTCCTTTCAAAGAACCACCTTCTTGTCCTGATGATTCTTTCTGTAGATTTTCTGTTTTCTATCTCATTTGTTTCTGTTCAAATCTTTATGATTTATTTTATTCTGTTGACTGTAGGTTTGTTTTGTCGGTCTGTTTCTAACTGTTGAAGATGTGTTAATTTTGGTTCTCTCTTCTGTTTGGATTTGTGCATTTATTGCAATACACTGTCCTCTCAGCACTGCTTTTTGCTGTGTCCCATAAATTTTGGCATTTGTGTTTTCATTCTTGTTTTATTATAGGAATTTCATAAATTCACCTTTTATTTGTTCTACTACCCATGTTGGGTAAAGTGGAGACTCAGAGAAAGAGAGGAACACCCCCAGTGAGATGGATTGGCAATGTGACAGCGCCAATGGGCTCAAGCATGTCAACAATTGTGAGGTTGGCCCAGGACAAGGCATTGTTTCATCCTGTTGGACACAGGATCATAATGAGTTGGTACCAACTTGATGGCACCGAACAACAACACCCAGTAGCTTTTAAGGCAGGTGTGATTCATTTTCCATGCATTTGGCTTTATTTCCTTAGATTCTTATTGTTCATTTCTCATTTTATAGCATTGTGGTCTGAGAAGATGCTTTGTAGTATTTTGATGTTTGTAAATTTATGGAGATTTGTTTTGTGGCCTAACATATGGTCTATTCTAGAAAATGTTCCATGTGCACTGGAAAAGAATGTGCATTGTGCTATTGTTAGGTTGAATGCTCTGTACACATCTATGAAGTCAGGTTGGTTGATTGTGTTGTTTACTTCCTCTATGTCTTTGTCTAGTTTTTCTCTGGTTGTTGTATTCCTTTTAGAAAGTGGTGTATTAAAATCTTCCTCTATTTTTATAGATTTGTCTGTTTCTTCAATTCCATTAGGGTCTGCTTTATAGATTTTTGGGGCTCTTTCACTGGGAGTATAGATATTTATTATAGTTATGTCATCTTGTTCAATTGACCTTTAATCATGAGATAATGTCCTTCTATATTTTTTATGCCATTTTTTTCCTTAAATTTTGTATTATCAGTGATTAGTTTTACCACTTCTGCTCATTTTATGTGGAAATTAGCTTGGTAAATTTTTTTCCATCCTTTATTTAACTTTTAATCTGCTTTTGACTTTGTGTATAAGGTGTGTCTCTTGCAGACAGCATGTTGAAGGATTTTGTTTTCTTATCCATTCTGCCACTCTCTGTCTCTTGACTGGTGCATTTAATTCACTGATAGTCAATGTAATTATTGATAGATGTGAATTAATTGCTGTCATTATGTTTGTTTTTTGGTGGTGCTGTTGGTTTCTTTGTTCTGCATACCTTCTTGTGCTGAGTTCATGTTCTTTGCACTCATTCTTTCAGTTTATTCATACTTTAATGTTTCTATGTTTTTCTTGGATTTTCATTTTCTTGACACTTTTTGAAGTATTAGTTTTATTTTGAGATTGCCCTATAGTCTATTAACTAATTCTACATTTAAAATTCTATATTTTATCCTTCAATCTATCTGATGTCCTCACCACCTGGATCTCTGTTCCTGTTTTTTTCCCTTCTTTTACATTGCAATTGTTTGGATCATAGACTGACCTTCCATGTCCTCTGAATTCATTCTTGTAGTTTGTTCTGTTATGGACTCTTCTATCTGTCGACTGAGTTCCAATTGGTGTTGCCATGTCTGTCAATCTCTGGTTGTTGTCTATTCTTGTTAGTTATCAGTCCAAAGAACTCATTTTAAGATGTTTTGAAGTGCAGGGTTGGCTTTGGAAAAATTTCTTAGTTTCTATTTTATCCTGGAATGTTTTTATTACACCATTGTATTTGATTGCCAGCATTGCTGTGTAGACAATTCTTGGATGTCAGGTGTTTGTTTTTTTCTCTGGGTTTTGTATGTGTCTTTCCATTGCCTGTTTGTCTGCATGGTTTCTACTGACAGGTCCGAGCTTAATCTGATTTACTTGCCTTTGTATGTAACACTTCTCTTTTCCCTAGCTGCTTATAGGATTCTCTCCTTGTCTTTGATTTGGAAGCTTGATTATATTTCTTGGTGATTTTCTTTTGTGGTCTATCATTCCTGGGGTTCATTCAGCTTCTTGAGTGCTTATCTTCTCATATTTCAGGATGTTAGGAAAATTTTCTCCCAAGCACCTCTTCAACTATCTCCTGTGGTCTTCTGAGATTCCTCCTGTTCTAGGATTCTGATAATTCTCAGATTATTCCTCTTCAAGATGTTCCACTTGAATCTTAATCTGCTTGCTCTTCTATCTCATCATTATTGAGAACTTTGTCATCACGCTCAGTGGTTCTGGCTTCCAACTCTTCAATTCTATTGCTTTGCCCTTTCAGTGTATTGTCCATTTTTGATATTTTAGTATTAATCATTTGGACCTCTTTTTGCAGGTTTTAAGTTCTTTACAATGCTATCTTATTTGATTGTTCCTGTAGCACTTTCATTATTTCTTCCTTATTTTTCTAAACCCTTCTATGGAGCGTTTAGATACACTTCAATATCATTTTTCTGAATTCCACTTCAGGCAATTTCAAAGCCAGCTCTCCTTCCAAAGGGAGTTCTTGGTCTACCTCTAGCTCTTTTGACTCAGCTACTCTAATTTATTTCTGGACATAAGCTGAGATCTTTGATTATTACTTAGGAATTTTCACTAATTATATTTATTGTAAATAATGAGATGAATTTATTTTGCTGTAATATTATGCTTTCTGAGTGCCTCCCAGTAGATGTGATAAGGAGATGGACTTTCATTTTCACTTCT